TATCATGTGATATTAGCAGCGTAGCATAGCGTAACAACTAAACATAGCTTTTAGTAGATAGAACACTCCTGGTATGTTTTTAAGACACCCAAAGCCAAAAATTGCCCAAAAACCTTTGCCAAACATTTAACCATTTCATTTAAAGCTAGTCATTGAAGTGAAGCTGTTATTACCCACAGTGAGACCTTACATTATCCCACAGTTGGAGTTGTTGTTTGTGAAAGAATCTAACTAATTTTGGGATTAAACTAGCTCACAAACAAATAACAGTAACCTGGTAATTTACCTGAGATAATCATGGGTATTATCTATGGACAGTGATTGGGAACACCTATAAAGCTAGGAGTTTGTGAAGGTAGAATGGCAACAGTGAAGACCTATCAGACTGGTAAAGATGAAGCAGATTATCCTCTTGTGCCTGATTTCTACCTGTCTTTCGACTATACATGCTCAGGTAAGTATACAGGGGATTGGAGTGGGACTGCGTTGTAACACATTTAACAGACTGCAACAAAATTGCAAATAACGTTTTCTGTTGTTTTTTTGCAGAAACTTTTGTTCAGCCCAAAATGGGGCCCCATTGGCTATAAAGGTAAGTGCAATTTGGATTTGATCTAATGTTAATATGTTATAGCAGTGATAATGCACCAGCTGATGGCAAATTATTTTTCAGAACATGATGACGATGATAGGACAGCAATGGATGAAATCATAAAAGCTAATGAATTTCAAGGTAATTTGAAAACCTTTTACTTGAATTGTTTTGTAGTTAACACAACAAACAACCTCATCTTGCCATGTGTAACAAATATATAATTTTAATTGATTTCTGTCTCAGCTTCCCGTCTCATAGACGGCTCTACCACTCTCAGAGAGGGAGACATTGCTGTTTCTTCTGGAAGGCGTTCTAAAGTTTGCTTTGCTCGTAGCTGCCTCTGGTCTAAGTCAGTGGATGGACATGTCTACGTTGCATATTCGCTTTCACATAAATACTGTATGCAATTTTAGTTTTTTAAGTCTTAACAATTACCACACATTACAGTAATTTTCATCTTAAATACATAGACTTTGAATGTGATGATTGAATAATTGTCTGTTCATTCTGTTTAAACAAATGCACAGCTGAAATGGAGACAAAGATGATAAAGAAAGGAATGGATGGCGTAGAGAAAGGAACCTGTGTGAGGTTTGTTCCTCGAACTCACCAGCGAGACTACGTTGAAATCCAGCCAAAGACTGGGTGAGAACCTTTGCTTGGAAACTATTAAACCTGCGATCATTGTTTGAATACATTTGGCAATTATAAAAGAGCCCCATTTTAAAACTTTAACTACAATTTAGTTTTGTATTTCTTCCTGTATGTTACAACACTTCTTTACTGTAAGTTGTTTAATATGTATTGAGCGCATGTGTGTCTTATAAGTCTGACCCAGGGAGAGTAGAATTATGTGCCGCCTGTATAATAAGTACTGTGTATTTCCACGGCTCCCCTGGGCCTCAGAGTATGGATTGAAGTGGGCAGACATGGCAGACTTACTGTGTGTGTGTGTGTGTGTGTGTGTGTGTGTGTGTGTGTGTGTGTGTGTGTGTGTGTGTGTGTGTGTGTGTGTGTGTGTGTGTGTGTGTGTGTGTGTGTGTGTGTGTGTGTGTGTGTGTGTGTGTGTGTGTGTGTGTGTGTGTGTGTGTGTGTGTGTGTGTGTGTGTGTGTGTGTGTGGTGTGTGTGTGTGTGTGTGTGTGTGTGTGTGTTTTGTGTGTGTGTGTGTGTGTGTGTGTGTGTGTGTGTGTGTGTGTGTGTGTGTGTGTGTGTGTGTGTGTGTGTGTGTGTGTGTGTGTGTGTGTGTGTGTGTGTGTGTGTGTGTGTGTGTGTGTGTGTCTGAATCCAGGTGTTGGTCCTACCTCGGTTCGCGTGGTGGAAGACAGACTGTTTCTCTTCAGAGCCCTGACTGCCTCCGGGTTGGAGTGATCTCCCATGAATTCATGCATGCTCTGGGCTTTGTGCACGAGCAGTCCCGCCTTGACCGGGACAACTATGTCACCATCATGTGGCCAAACATTTGGAGGGGTAATTTCAAAGGGGCGGGAAGGGCGGTGTCATTGAGTAATGAAATCTCCACAAACGATTTATCAAAGCATATATTTAATTAACTGCATTTCTATAAACCTTTTCAAAACATAGATGTTCCACTTATTACATAACAACAACAAAATAAAATGATGGTAAGATATTGTTTTTCGATTTCCAACAGATCGTTTGAGGAACTTTGAGAAATTCAAGACTGACAGTCTGGACTTACCTTATGACTATGGCTCAATCATGCACTTTGGAATGTAAGTAATAATTAAATGTAGATAACTCAATATATAATAATTTTGTTTATGAATTATGATGTTAAATGTCTATGTTTAGGTTTGCATACTCTCAGGATGGCTCCCCAACCATCATTCCTAAAAACAACCAGAACAGCAAGGACATAAAGCTGGGCCAGGTATCATCTCTCAGCCGCATTGACAAGATGAAAATCAACAAGCTTTATAAGTGTGGTAAGTACCAAACATCCTTACCAAACCTAGTAATTAAACATATTGCTAAATGGGCAGATATTTCCAATCACTTTTTTTGTGTCTCTTGGCAGGTACCACGGATGAATAGGACCAACCTGAATTGAGGCGATACAGGAATGTGCTGAAAGTTATATACAAATCTAATGTCAAATCATAGAAACAAATTTCAATAAAGATTGATTGAAGCTTTCTATCTGCATTTCCTCTGTATGCGTGCAGTCAATTTGTTTAAACAAGACATGTTTCTTATGTTTAAAAGGATTACAAAAGTGAGAAGAAGTCATTTAAATGCCCTTAAAACCAAATGTATACACTATATGTAATTTGATGAATCAATAACAGATGACTTAATTGTCAAGAAAATGAAATGTCATCCTACTTGCGTTGGACATGCTTGCATGCATAAAACTGCAGTAAAATAAAAAAATGGACCAATTTAAAGCATGGGTCATGTGATCACATTACACAATAAATAAAGTAGTATGTAATGTAATCAGCACACAAGCAATATACAAAAAAGACTCAATGTTATTCAACCGCCCAACACAATTCTTAAAGGTCTCCTATTATACTCTTTTTCATCAATATATTATAGGTCTTGGATATATACAAAACATGTTTCTGAAGTGTTTGGCTCGAAATACCAAACAGATCGTGCATTGTAGGCTATGGGATGCTACCATTTGTAGCATCCCATAAACCCCTCTGTTTTAGCCCTGTTTCAAAAGTGCTGATTCTCTGTCTGTTACTTTAGATGAAAATAAGGTGCCACGCCCCTCTGCGAGATATTTCGTTAAAAAGAACACAATAGCCGCATTCACACCAAGTACTTTGCCGTACTTAGTTCCCAGCACTTGGTTCCCCCATGGAACTAAGAGCAGATCGCGTTCACAATAAGTCCCTGAGGGAAGATTACGCAAATAAAGCCGCTGACGTCACTTCTTCTTCTTCTGCTTTGGGTTTACTGGCAGGCCGCAAACAACTTCACGGTGTATACTGCCAGCCGAAGTCCCCAGAGTTGGGGGAGAAGCTGCTGGGACTCCCAGCAGCTTCTCCCCCAGATATGGGGGAGAAGCTGCTGGGACTCCCAGCAGCTTCTACTGAAGCCTTCCGAGTAAATCGCCAGAACGCCGACACCTCCTCATCACTCCACCGCTCCCATGTTTTTTTTTGTGTTGCCATAACTTATTCTCTCTCCGTTGGTGCGCGGGGCTAATGCTAATGCTAATAATGCTAATGCCAACAAATACAATGGCGGCTTCACAAAACTTTTCAGAGTTTTACGGGGCGTGGTTTGCAATTCACCCAGCCAATCAGAAATTGGAACTTTTTTCTCCCCAGGAAAGTACCTGCTCTCTAGCAGGGACTGAAAAGGGGGGGAAAGTTCTCATGAACTAAGTTCTCTTTTTGGTGTGAACGCAAAATCCCAGGAACTATCGGAACTAAAAGGGAAAAGTACAAGGGAAAGTAATCCGGTGTGAAAGCGCCTAATGGTGCTCTAGGGGGAGATTCAGGTGATAAGGTGGGGGGTGTTACCTTGGTAGGTTATTGGCTAATGGTTACACAAGCCGAAAAATCGGTATGACTTCATAAAGTGGCCAAAATCTGATCAGCTCATTTTCAGACAGGTTTTTATATAAATGGATCAGGACCAAAAGTGTGCGAATCTTTTTTCCTGAAACTTTCAGAATCTCTTTACACAGAGGTGACACATGTTGTGTGATTTTGCATAATAGATGACCTTTAAATATATTGTGCCTGAAGATACCGGCAAGCAAAACTCACTGAGCAAAGAGTAACTAGGGTCTGCAAGGAACTCATTTATGGTATGACAGCACATGAATGTATTCTTGAAACAATGCACCCTTAACCCGAAATATTATAGAACTAATGTTCTTAAAACACCACAGGCAAAATGTCATAAACTTTCCTCAGTCTTTGCCCTTCAAATTGGCCCCTTGGTAAATATATAAATACACTTTGGTGAAGGATAAGGGTTAGTTTTTATATATTTACCTTCATGACAAAATTATTGTGGTCAAGCCAGTTATCAACTGATGATTTATCGCAAAATCACTGGTTGCCATTACAGTCAGACACAAATTGCTGGTCTGTTGGACTTGGTGGACAGTTATTCTCCTGCTGTGTTGTAGCACCTTTAAAGAGTCTTACTTTCTAAAAGTGCTGAACCTTACATGCACTAAGTACGGGGCACAGTGAAGGTCAGCATCAAGAGCACCTCTTACGGATCAGCAGTGGACTTGAGTAAATTACACACGCTGGATGATGAGGGGTCTTAATCATGCTTCATCATGGAATAACTGCCCAATCAGTGCAGACCTCTGGAGGAGAAGTGGGTATATAGACTCAGTGGAGGAGAGGCTCTGGCATCAGAAAACAGCAGACTGAACCTGGTGCACCAGTCTCAAACACAACAATGCATTCTACCATGATCCTTCTGGGTGTCTTGTTTGGCCTGCTGAGCCAGGCGTACACTCTACCTGTTAAGGTTAGTACCAAGAGAAAATATTTTATTTTTTTCCACTTTAATCGATCTTCGAAAACATAATGCAACTTTTCATTACAGAATTCTACTGGACTACATGAGGCAAAAGTGAGGTTGAGAAGGACATACTCAGGTGGGATTTCAAACGAATTTACAGACCATGATCATGATGACATGAACGCAATGGATAAAATCCTGGAAGTCAATCACAGTAAGGCATAATTGAGTTCTAAAATTCTACCAAACATTTTTTTGTATACCCTGGACTTATTAATTATTTTGTATTACTAGGGTTGCGATTTCCCAGAGGAATGTCCTTCAGAGATGGAGATATTGCCAGCTCGTATTTCCGGAGTGCCATAACCTGCCCTGGCAATGCCTGTCTGTGGCCTAAAGCAGTTGATGGATTTGTTTATGTTCCCTTCATGCTCTCTCCAATATATGGTATGAATCCCCCGATGTAAAAACACATTGTAAAGGCATTGACAATTCAAATCTTTGTCAAATTATTATCTTTTATTTTTTTTTGGCAGAGGACATGGACAGAATCACCATAGAAACTGGGATGCAAGACATTACTGCTGGAACGTGTATTAAATTTGTTCCACGTACTCAGGAAGCCAGCTTTCTTGATATTCAGCCTAGATATGGGTGAGCATGATTGCTACATGTGGTTTGAAATGTGCCGTGTATTTCATTATAATATGGTGATTTTCCATTGAGATGGTCATTTCCCGTTTTGTACCCAAAGCTGCTGGTCGTTCCTGGGGCAGACTGGAGGAAGCCAGACCCTGTCACTGCAGACTCCTGGGTGCATGTGGTCAGGAGTCGCTGCCCACGAGTTCATGCATGCTCTTGGTTTTGTACATGAGCAATCTCGCTCAGATCGAGACCACTATGTCTCAATTGTATGGAAAAACATCATGGCAGGTTGGCGCATTATGTCATTGCATCCATAGAGCACTTTCTTTACCTTTTGAGTCCTTTTCTTATGAGTGTTGTGTCCTTGTATCTTTTATGTTTTGACAGACCAAGCTCATAACTTCAGGAAACAGGAAACAAACAATCTCAACAGTCCATATGACTACAACTCTGTCATGCATTATGGAAGGTGAGTGATCTTTCAGGCAACATCATTATTGGTTTTCCATGTTTAGCTGGGGCGTCACCATACCATATGCTTCATGTATCTTTTATCCAGATATGCCTTCTCTGAAGATGGTGGACCAACAATCATCCCCAGACCAGATCCTTATGTTCCGATTGGCCAGCGAGACGGACCCAGTATTCTAGATCTTCATAAAATAAATGTCCTATACAACTGTGGTTGGTTGATTTGAACATTTGCCTGAAAATATATATCTTTCTCTCCTTTAAAGATGTTGAATTATCTTTTGATTGATTGATTTTCTCTCTACTCCCCACTACAGGAGTCAACTAACTGGATCCAGAGTGTGTGTCAAGTTCTGTGGAAAATGGTTAATTGTAACCTCCGGTCATAAGCCTACATTTTATGGGAAACAATATTATGCTAATTTAGTATTTACTTTTAGATAGCTTCCTGCTTTTAGATTGTGTCGAGTCAGTTCTGAGTACAATCTACTAGTTTGAGATATAAATAAAGTAAATATAAAGCTGCTTTTCACTAATAAAGCTGGCATCTCACTGTAGTAAGTTTAACATCAACATTTAACATCCACTGCTGCCAAGTAGATCACTGCATCACATCTTCAAATCAATTGTTCCATTTCTGCTTCATTCACAAATCCTGTTCAATTTAAATAAAGAAAATGTAAAATGTATTGAGTATTAGACTGTTTTTCACTTCATTTGTCACATCTCTATCTTTAAGAAGTATTTTTCTCCCTTTTCTGTTCAGATTTTCAGTGAACATTGCTGATCACTGCACACAATTACAATTTTTTTTAACACCTTATGCACTTAATGTTTTCATTATTCACACTTTCTTTGCAGTTGCTTGATTGTAAAACCCTCAAGGTTAAACCTTTATTTAACTTACATTTCACTCTCAACACTTTCGCCTAGCCATTGTTCAATAGCCTAGTTTAGTCTACTATGTTATTAGAAAGACAGAGTCTGATTGAACATATAGAACTTACTCGTAAAAGGTTACATTATTAATAATTAATTAATATAATATGTAAGAATGTAGTTGCTTATTTTTGTGGTCATGTGCCCAACGCATGGAATAATGCCGCGCAGGGGGAGGGGCTTATAGTCGCTCCTGCAGCAGCACACTCCACAAACAAACTACGGTGGTTTGTAGCTAGCTGGTTAGCATAGCGGCATAAACAACTGTGATATTGCGGCACTAAAATGAGCGACAGTGGCAAAGGTTACGGCGAGCGGGTATGTATGATTAACGTTTGAAGAAGGCTAGCGTTAATATATAAAGAACTAGGTTGTAAAGAGGTAACGTTGACTGTTGGCAAACGTTAGCTAGCAAGCTCAACTCAAGTCGAAATGTAAGGCTGGATTATGAGCTATTTTATCAAACATGGACTTTTTAATGTTCTTGTTTTATTTGCTATAATACATTACTCAACTATAAAACAATAAGCCACGTCCAAAGTAACGTTGCATTAAATAATAGTCTGCTAATATCTGTTAACTTAGATAGCTAGCTGGCTACCGTTAGCTGAACATTGTTAGCTAGGCCACAGGCTGCAGTGTTCATGCCAACTTTAGCCAACAGTGATATTTAAACACAAACAGATGATGAAGTGAAGGCATCCGTGTTTAACATGGGTTAGAAAAATGTATTCTCCTTCATTAGCATTCACTCACATTCACACCTAGTATATTCTGTTTCAGTTGCAGGTTGTTGGTTTTACTCTGCTGAATGTGGCTCATATGATTTCATGTCTGTCTTGTCAGTGCTAGTGATGTTATACAAATGAGTGGCAGAAGCATTTGGAGTTTGTGTGGTTTACCTTAAACCAAGATAACATTTTTTAATCCCTTAATGAATACACAGTTTAAACTTTAATAAGAATATTTGACATTCAGTGGTTTTATAAACAGTGTGATGCGTTAGAGGCCACTTTGAATAATGGTTTTATTCTATGGAACATATTTTGTTGTTGCAAAATAAATGTAAAGGTAAAAAATGATTAGTAATTACAGTATAACTCATTTTATTCTCTACCTTTTTTCTTGCTATCGTACACATGTATAGGAGACTGGGGTTCAATGTTATTTTGTTTCACACGTCCAACAAAAAGGTCAAGACACAACCCAAATGTTTGTATACTTCTAACTACAAGTGGCCAATAAGACATAACAGTGAACGGAGAACCACTGAATGTGAAATATTTGTAGGACTTTACATTCATAAATATTTGTATTGTGTGGTCTAAAACATTTGGAAGCATGTGATGATATTTTAATAGCATGTTCAAAGTTTAATGATCCTGCAGTTTTAGTTGAAGTCATTCTTCATCCTTTTCTTTTTCATTAAGGTTAAGATTGGACGAAGAAAATGCGGAAGAAGTGCTCTTTATTTTCAATAATTTGCAGCTCAGATGTGTGAAGCTGAATTGTTCAATGCATGCTAAACATGTGAAGGGGAAGAAGTTTGGGCAGTGTGTGAGATGGGGGAAGTCAGAAGAAGTATAACAATCGAAGAAAGAAGAATAATGTGAAGTAATGAAGTTACAGAAATGAAGTTAAAGAAGTAATCTGGATAAGGCCACAGCGCTAAGTAAATCTCTGGTCTGTTTGTCAAATGCGTGCATGTTGTTGTCTTTGAACAGTTAAAATGACTACAATTTTTACACAACTGAAACATTTGTTTCTCCATAATATTGACATTTTAATTGTATTTATAAAAGTAATCCTATTGACATCACATTATTCATCGATAATATATATATATACCTGCATTCCTATTCCACAATCCTAAATGATGTTATTTTTTGTACTTTTTACATAAAACTAATTAGGCAAACGTCACTTTGTCATCTCATTCATCCTAATGAAGGTATTGTGTGTGTGGTTTGTTCAGGATTCTCGCTTCTCATCCCGGAGTGTGAGTCCACGAGGCTCCAGGAATTCAGCAAGCCGTTCCCCAGCTCTGTCGCCTGCCCACTCAAAAGATGGCTCCCGCCACTCCCGCTCTAAATCTCTCTCTCGATCCAGGTCGAAATCTGGGTGAGTGTCTGTGTTATCATTATTTTACAAAACTCCCTCTTGTTTATCTTTTGGAGACGATTTAGAGAAGTTGGTTGTACATAAATATTCAAGCAATAAAATTGTGTTTCTGTCTACAGGTCGCACCGCGGCTCGAGGAGACACTATAGCCGCTCTCGCTCCCGCTCAAGGTCCCATCGCCGCCGGTCTCACAGCCGCTCGTACAGCGGTGAGCGCCGGCGCAGGAGCCACAGCCGCTCCCCGATGTCTGACCGACGCCGGCACATCGGCAACCGCGTAAGTACTCAAAGGCCCTTGTGAGTAGGTTATATTACTTTTTCTCCTATTGTAAAAGAAGACCTGCCAATATAAATCATTATGTTGTCGACTACTAAATGAATCTCCTACTATTTTGATATTTTAATTGGTTTGAGTGAATTTGTAAGAAAATAAAAGTCTGTCATCTCTATCTCCAGCTTCTTAAATGTGATCTTGGGCTTTGGGAAACACTGATCCACATATCGCATTTTGGTTAATATTTCATTTACCAAACAACTAATCAATACATTTAAGAAGAAAAAAGACAAAGAAAATGATTGTCGGTTGCAGCCTTATTCAGAAGTCGATCAGTTTTGCTTTTGTTCTTTCTGCATGCTGTCTGAATATACTCAGAATAAAGAAATTAAATTGTGAAAAATAAAAAACAGAAAAGCTTTGGTTTTTAGTATGAAAGACTCTTCACAACTGTAATATCTCTAAAATTGCAGGCTAATCCAGATCCAAATGGCTGCGTGGGAGTGTTTGGCCTGAGTTTGTACACCACAGAGAGGGATCTGAGGGACGTCTTCTCTAAGTACGGCCCCCTGGCGGATGTCTCTATTGTGTGCGACCAGCAGTCGAGGCGCTCCAGGGGCTTTGCTTTCGTCTACTTTGAGAACTCTGTTGATGCGAAAGAGGTAAAAGAGCAGGAGTTTGAAAAGACCCCCGGCACTCCTCAACCCTGAAATACTTTCTGGGTCCAAAACAGTAATGCAATGTTTGTTCACCGTCAGGCAAAGGAGCGAGCCAATGGCATGGAGCTGGATGGTCGTAGGATCAGGGTGGACTTCTCCATCACAAAGAGACCGCACACCCCGACCCCTGGAATCTACATGGGCCGGCCCACATAGTAAGGAAACATATTAAGTTTGTCTCAAGTCTTCGATTTGTATGTATTCTATTAGAGTTAATTATGTATGCTTATCATTTCTTATGTAAAACATTGAGAGGCTGTTTTTTTTTCATTAGGAGCTAATATTATTGTTTTATTTTAGTGTTATATGTTCATTTATAAACCTTTATTTAGAACCCAGTGTATGTATACGTTTGAAAATGTTTTTCAATTTACTGAGAACATGGGCATCAATTAAATGGTCTTTATAAATAAATCAAAGTGAAATATTAAACATAGAATAGAGCCCTTGCAACCAACACATCCCAAACCACGCCCTACACCCTACCCCTACACACCACCCCTCCGTTTGCGCATTTGCGCGGAGGGTCCGCCACATTTAGTGCTGTTCCAAACCAACGAGTGTGGAGCGGTGTGGAGGGGGAGTGGGCTATCAAGCCATCAAACAGCGAGTCTGCATCGGTGCTGACTTGAGACCGGTCTCAACGCTGTGTGTGTCTGTCAGGAAACACGCTGTTTACAAGTAGTTCCAGCAAACATCCACTGATAAACTGCGATGTTAACAACCTCATGATAACCTCATATTTTTTTAACTTAGGATCATACCTCTGTTTAGTCTAGAAAAAGGTAAATGTGCATTTTATTATAAAGTTGTGTGTATTTACACAACTTTAGATAGATTGTTGCAAAAACAAAGAAGCTTATAAACATCAGGTTTAAAACTAAAAGAGCTTTACAAAAAAGTAACACTATTAAAGATGTTTGGAGTTTTATTTTAGTTATTGTTTTTTTACTTTTTGTCTAAGAGAAGCTGATTTGAAACCGTTGTTACATACAGTTGCGGCATTTCCTGTTTCTGCCGGAGAGAGGGGAGGCCTTCCCAAAGCTTGCCGCTGTATTTACTCCCTCCATCTGACAGGAGGGAGCCTCGTTGAGCTGCGAGTGTCACTCCACGGAGTTCACCCCGTCACGGAGGGGTAGTGTGTAGGGGTAGGGTGTAGGGCGTGGTTTGGGATTGGGCCTATATTGTTTTTGTTTCCTGTTTAAAAGCAATGAGTGACCTCATGACCTCAGTAAGGTAAAGTTTTGTTTCCACAAAAATGGCTGTATGGTGCTGCTGAGAGAACACAAGCGTTAACCACAGACTATACAGACTTGACACATTTGAACTAAGCTCTCACTGCTATATCATTAGGATAATCTTTCAAATTGAGAGGGAATTGCAGGAAATGTAATTGTCTCATCGTTGAACTGTCCTGTGTGCAGCGGAGGGGGGGGAAGCAGCAGTGGAAGTGGTCCCAGCGGTCCAAGCGCTCCTCGGCGCAATTCACGTGACTATGACCGCGGACATGACCGTGGATCCGACCGAGGATACGACCGTGGATCCGACCGAGGATACGACCGTGGATCTGACCGAGGTGGCTATGACGACAGGGACCACCAACGATCATACAGGTGACTATTAATCCTTTAGCATAAATCCTCCAGATTATAAAATGTTTTCCCAATTTGTTGTATTTTATCTGAAGCTGAAAAATAGGAAATACAAAAAGTCTTTATGTTGTCTGGTTCCAGAAGGCGATCTCCGTCCCCGTACTACAGAGGGAATTACAAGACTCGGTCCCGATCGCGCTCTTATTCTCCCCGTGAGTCATTTCCACAATAATCTACTCTTTTATTGGCTAATATAAAGGGTTACATTTTGTCTAAAGACTCTGTTTTACTTCACAGGACGCTACTAAATGTTGCTGTCAAGCCCCTCCACCTCCCACACAGACAGGAAATATTTGATGATTGATTTCAGAATAGATCTTCTTAAGGTGATAATCACACTTCTGTTTCTATCGTACATGACCAGTAAATGTATTTTAGTTGTCAGCAGTTGTCATGAATCGGGCTGTACCCTCGTGTTTTTTATTTTGAAATGTTTAGGCAATGTCAGCCGTGGAAAATATATTAATGTTTTTGTTAATGTATTTTTTGTATAACAATTGAGTGAACGCTCATCTCTAAACGGATTAAAACTAAGAGGCTTTCTTTTCCAAACTGACTCATGTCCTTCCTCACAGCATTTGTACATACTTTAACCTGTTGCTGCTGCAAGGATGTTATAAAACAGTCAAGGATGTATCGTAGCCGTCATCTTATTACATTACTATGGGATCATTTCCAAACCATTTTTGTTCTCTTAACTTAAACAAATGAAACGGAAGTGCTTGTCTTCTACATTTCTTCCTGGGGAACCACCATTAAACTGTCATTAAGCTCAATTTAGTCTAAAATGCTTTTTTCTTTTTTTAAACCTTGAAACTTGTCATAAGCTTAAAGATAAGCTACCTGTTTCATACTTATGAAATTACACAGAAACAGACCCTTACTAGATTGATATATCCAGTTATATTAAACAATAATTGCATAGATATGGCTAAATCCAGTTCCATCTTATCTAATACCTCCTGTCGCAAATATTAAAGATGACACAAATATCTGCAGCCTGCGAGTCATTTAAGTAATGATGTGAAACTAAATGGCAATTCAGTCTGATTTATCAAGCTAATATTCCCTGACCAGGAGCTGTAAATCTGTCTTCTAAATGCCACTGCGTATCAGTAACAAGTTTAAACTAATATAGATACAGCATGTGTGTGTGAAATGGTTATTTGTTGGCACTCTTTATCGTCCTTTAACAAACTGATGAGGAAAAATTAACCCTTACTAAATGAAGCTAAACATGTTAATTAATTTTGTTTAAACTGCTACTCAACATGACAGTCCAACATTGACCCCTACTGGTACACTACAGTACTACACATACTTAACTGAGTAACTTGTTAAAGCTTCAGTTTATTTTAGTCTGGTGTTATTTTAAAGGGTCCGTTTGACCAAATATTATATATTTATAAAGCTAACTCAACTATTTTGACTGAGCAATGCTGATCATTTTGGTGTCATGTCCTCATTTTTAAATATCCACCAAATGCTACTATCTTCATTAATGGATTTTATATCTGGCACTTACAGCAACTGCCTCTTTAAAGAAATGTAAAAGCTTCAAACACAAGTGCGGTATTTACCTACAATTTATGTGTTTAAAAAAGTTTCTTAAGCTTGTGTTGCTTGTTTCAAACATTTGAACAAAAACACTGCTTTGAAATAAGGGAACAGGATGGATTGTATTCAATACATCTTATTAGCAAGGTTTACACGAGCAGTCCAACAAAAAAGCAAACTAATCATTAAACTGCCAGTTCCTTAAAACTGTATTTGTGAGCAATAGTTGAGTCAATGGTTTATTTATACTTTTATAGTGCACAACATTGCAGAATTATTTACTTTTGAGATCTAGATATGAATGGAAAGTGTAAAATGTGAACTGAAAATGTATTTCTTGTTTTAATCCTGTTTTTCTTGTAATGCTGTTGTTTGCTTCCTGTATACAACCCCCACCCCTTCCTGTTAACATCTTTTTAAAATGTTATATATTTTTCTCTCCAGTTTAATTCATTGTTAAATTGTTCCTTTGTTGTAATCAGAATTGGTTGAACAGGATGAGAGTTAAGAAAGTATGGGTAGTTAAAATGACAAACACAGGAAATGTGATGAAGAGACAATGGAGAGCAAAGCAAAAAGACACCGTCGACCACACCTTGAAAACAACATGCACCCTTTTCTTCCCCTCTAGTACCACAAGTCCACGTGTGTGTGTTGTTTGTTTTGATCACTCTGTGTTCCCTCACTATTTGTGAGCACACTGACCTAGAAGGGCATAACATGTTAGTAAGAAAGGATGCCAACATATCCTGAGTGTGTGATCAATTTAAACTGCTTTGTGTTTATCCACTTATAGAAAAGTAAAATGGAACTGCTGTTAAAAGTACTTATGCTATATGAACTCAGAAGGATTCTGCTGGCATCAGAGAGGCCTGCAACAACTCGTGTTAGCATGTCATCGGGAAGGTAACTGAAGAGCTGTTTTGTAAATAGGCCACAGTTTGGACATTCCTCTGTTCACACACTGACGTAAACAAGCAGAGGAACGGTCACTCCTGCTGCTGGCACACTCTCCACTACAGTAGGGTGGCAGTAATGTTCCAAGGCAGAGGCCAGTCACATGTAGAAACACTCCAGTGCTGTAGGCTCAGGCTCCTCCTCCTGGTAGCTGCTGTAGGTATCCATGCACGAGCACTGCAGCCTGTCGCCATACAGCTCCACAGCCTCCCTTGCATTTCAGCTTTTGTTTTGAAATCTTGCCAAGATACTTCAAAACACACCCTCAAACACACACCTCCAAAACACACCCACAAACACACACACCTACATCCCATTAATGTGCTATACCATATGAGCTAACACTGAAGGGGCCTCCACATAGTTAAAATAACTACTAATAAATTATCAGAAATTATTTATTTAGTTTTAGTCTTAGTCCTCCACTAGCACTATCCACAAGTGGAAATGCAAAGCAAAAGTGCCATCACCTTTTGTAATGTGTAAAATTGCAGGTCTGAGGACTTTTAATCAGTTATACCTGACAAGGATGTTCAACAATAATGTCTGTTTCACAGTCATTTCTGCACAAGGGCAGAGTCTACAAGAACGGCTGTGTTAAGGTTTCACTTTCTGTATTGTTTTAAAACAAAAGCCTGTTTTCTTCTTTTGCAGTTTTATTATTGAAACTAAGTCCTAAAAATTCTAAAATGCTCAGATATTTGTATTTTACATTGTCTTTTATAATCTCAAACAGGCATCTTTGGCGAGATTTGGACCCCCTGCGTCCACAGCTCTATAAAATCCATATTTCTGTGTCTCATAAATAAATAAGAGGCAAACTGGGGATCAGTGACACTGTTTGGGCCGACAAGTACAGTGACAACGACTTGATTTTCCGCACAGTGGCCCTTTTTTTTTTTACTCTTCCAGCCTGGAGGGACCCAAGGCACGGCCCTTATTATGATTTGATGAAATAACCCCTCTGCTTCCTTAAAGCCCATCCCTTTGCTGAATATACCGAGTGATCATCATGACACTTTCATTCCCCAATGTACTTTCCACGCTGGAGAACCAGGAGTGATCGCACATGCACCTCCAAACATTTTTTTCTTGTGATTTTTAAGGGAGATTTTATTTAGAGGCGGTGCTTGTTGGCTCCAGAGAAGCGTCGTAACGACACTTTTTCCCCCCAGTCCCTGTTAAAAGAGTTAGACCGGGGCCAGAGTTGGTGCTGGGGGGTCGCCTATAGTTTAGTAATTTCCTGGGGGGTAATTGCTAGGTTTTCTTTTTATCCTGTCAGATTTTCTATTTTATTTTATTTTTTATTTTTCTACTTCTCTGAATTATCGCCACTCTCACTGTTAAGATCTGATATCCCCACGAGATTTTTCCTTCCAGATCATGAACAAACTATATGTTGGGAATTTAAGTCCTTCGGTCACTGTCGAGGACTTGAAGGAGCTCTTTGGGGAGAAGAAGCTTCCAGTGGCCGACCAGGTCCTGCTGAAATCCGGCTATGCTTTTGTGGACTTCCCCGACCAGAACTCGGCCATAAAGGTTATAGAGACTCTTTCTGGTAAGTGTGGATTTGATAAGTGATGCTGCTGGTGACAGGGGAAATTCACAGCGAGTCAAACTGCAAGATCAGGTTAAAACATAATAGCTCGGTGTGTCCGAAATATTAATCATTGCTTGTGTTATTATTATTTTGTATTATTGCTCGGGACAGTGTTTGCGATCACATCCGTGTGCCATCAGAGTTTAGATGAACGCTCAGCCATGCACGCTCCAACCAAAAATGGATAATTTATCGATCACAGGACACACTGAGGGCTTTAGTGCCCGATTGCCTAAAGAAAACACTAGCCGTCCTTTCGGCATTACCGTGCACAATAACCTATATTTTGGAGATTCCGATAGTGTGGGGCGCTACTTTGCAATCACCCGCTGGAATGTATGGGATGGTCTGATGGTTCGGGTCGGCATAATTATTTTTCACTTATTTTTTATCTTGATTTTATTGAAGAGAGCACAGCAAAGCCAGCGCGGAAAACTTGTCAGATCCATGTTCCTCTGATGTCTGGGTATGTTTTTACGAGGTGTCTTGGAGGTGGGTCATGGGGGTCCGGAGGAAAGAGCTAATAAACAGGTAGCTGAGGGGGGACGAGGTGAGACGCTAATTCCGTGCTGCGCCAGGCCACTCATAATAACGAAAACCCGTGTTCAAGCCTCGCCGAGGAGCGCTTCAAATACACCCCCGGCTGAGTCACGGAGAATTAAAGAAACCTACCTAGAATAGAAAGAGTACAAGTCATTCTCCTTTACCATCTCTTCTTTGATGTTGCATTCTTAACAGAGCAGAACAAATACCCCTCATTGCACAGTGCGGGTTGTGGGAGTGGAAAGCATGGCTGCCCATTTCCCCCCTACTATAAAGCTTATCATGCTTCATGTTGGCGCCGATTTCTACTCATTTTAACCAACAAAATGTCTCGGTGAGGTTGTTTTTATCCAAACATACCCAGTAGTTTATCCGTCGCCCCTGCGCACAACGCGCCCGGGTACAGTACTTTTTCTAGGGGTTGGCTGTTTGAATGGGGACGCACCTACTTGGTGAAGTGATTCAAAGTGTTGCTGTGTAGGCCTACCAGCTTGCATTGTTGCTTTCATGATACACAGATAATGTTACACTATCAATTTTCGTCTCTACAGGTAATGTTGAATTACACGGAAAGGTGATAGAGATAGACTACTCTGTTCCAAGAAAACTAAGGTAGGCCTACACTCTGACACACACACACACACACACTCACACACACTTTTGTGTCATCATCCGCCTATACCGACTGTGCCCCATGCTGACTGTGACCTGTAGGCTTCCGCTGTGAAATATAGCTCGCACATTTCCCTCTTCTCTGGGCTTCTGTGTGTGATTTTTTACGTTCCTGGTCATGTTTTATTTACTGGCGAAGGACATGTAATTGTATTGTGGTTAAACAACAGAAATAAAGCGACAAAGAATCAGTTTAATCCCAACATCCGCAGAACACACGGTG